AAAAAAAAAAAAATTACGTAAGCAGGAAATTAGGGTTTTTTTTTTTTTTTTTTTAATTTTTTTTTTTTTTTAATTTCTTCTTCCCGAGAATGTTCACACTTGGGAACAGCGAACTGCGATGAGCTTTCCTCCTTCACCTGAATTGTTTTCTGTAGCACGTTTAGCTGTAGCGACTGGGTTCGATTGATCTTTCAAATCAGATGTCTTGCAATATATCGATTTCACGTAACTTGACGGCTCGAAGCCTGAAAAATTGAAAATGCACGTGCCATTACGATCAACTGTTTCATTGTTTAGTGAATTATTTAAAGAACTCAGAGATTCGAGTGCCAAGAGGGAAAACGTTCTCAGCTCGCTGAATAAAACGCTGAAACCAGTCCAACAAAAAAAAAAAAAAAAAGTGGGCAAGGTATCGCCTAACGGTGGACTTGCCTAACCTCTTACGTGTAACCGGCCTCGTGTTGGTTGATTCGCAGGATCAAACTGAGTCAGCAGCTATACTCAAGATCAAGGAGAGCATGCAGGAAGAGGCAAAGAGGTTTGAAAAGGATTCAGATCACCCCGATTATTACATACAATAACTCGTCACGAGTCGAATTTGGGCCCTGAGACCAAATTAACGTTTTAAGAGAAACAAAAACCGACTCCCCTCTTTTTCTCACCTTTCTCTCTCTTTCTCTCTCTCTATCTCTATCTCTCTGTCTCTCTGTCTGTCTATTTTCCTTAAATCCGACTCTCCTGACTGCACTTATACTCCTTCCTTTCAGAACCCCAATCTCCTGCAAGTTCGAGTCGAGGCACTTGAAAGCGGTATAAAGAAAAAAAAGTGAAAAAAAAAAAAATTGTAAAAAAAAAAGAACGTTGAGCTCCTCGAGGAAAGTGCACCAGAATATTATCGTATATAAGGATTGAAAAAGAAAAAAAAAAGAAAAGAAAAGTGTGTTTCTCCTTTTGTGAAAGCGAAGAGGGGGAAAGGATTACGGAAAGGACCTAACCTTTTTAACGTAGAGCAGTTGGTCGTGAACCTTCGGGGAACGTTGTTGTCGTCACGTAAGACCTCTCGTGATTTCGCGTTGACGTACACTCTTAAGGAAACATGGCGTCGCGGTAACACCGTGTCGTCTAACACGAACATCGAGTCGATCGATGACGGTCGTTTTCTTTTGTAGGTGGTCACGGGTTCAAGATGTTTCGAGCGTCTTTCGAGTATCGTGTTGAGGTTATGAAACAACCCCAGTGGCTGTGCTTCCACGCAAAATGGTCCACGTCGTGATAAAATTTTTACGCCGTTACGAACGAACTCGGTTACCGCAAAACGGTGAAATCTCAACGCCGACAAATACAAATTTTGTTATCGCCAGAGGTGACGGATAGAAATTTTACTGTGAAAACAGTTGTAGATTGAGAACAAGCCGAGTTCAGGGGACCTGGGAAATCCACCCATTCAGAAGATACGGAATCTTACAATTACTGAACACAAAGAAAATAATGGAGAGCGATATGAAAGTCTCGGAAGTAACTCAATGGAGATAAGAACAAAAAAAAGATGAGCAAAAGAAAAGAAAAGAAAAAAAAAAAAAAGATGTTTTATCTAGCACGGTATACGTGTCTTTATCGCATTTTTCTTTATCTTTCATACGCTAGATTCCGTATCATCCGAATAAATTTCCCAGGAGTTTGAGAAATTTTACAGTTTTGATCCCGATGCGGGCCATTAACATGGAAGGACAGAACCGTTTCGTTAATTTGTACAAAGTCTCTGCTACCACGCGTTAATTATCGAAGCATGTTACATTTTTCCCCGCCCCTTTTCGAGAAATGAAAATTGCGTGCTTTCGTTTTCGAGTTATTCGACTTAACGCTCGATCACGTTACACCCGCAAGTCACACAAGTGGACTCGTTTTGACGTCGTTTCCCTTTCCTCTCAAGTCGCCCCTCCTACTCCTGCATAAGAAACCCGGTTTCGTTTCCGAGAAACGGGAAGAGACAAATGCAAAAAAGAAAACAGAAAGGTAATAAGTGCTTCCTTATTGGTCCTAAGTTGATAGAAAACCATATATTTTTTGTACAGTTCGAGGAACAGTTTGAGCGGTAAAACGGGGTGATTTTTTTACAAACGAGAATAGCATTTCCCCCCCCCCCCCCTCCCCCCGCTCCTCTCCTCTTCCTGTTCGCCCTTCAGTTTCACCAACTAGACGTTTTCATGGAGTATACTTGAGTGACGTTTCATCGGTTCCCTCGGTGAATAGTTTCAACGTATAAAATTGAAAAGAAAAAAGGAAAACTAAATGAATGAAGTAACCGTTACGAGATAAATCTGACGCAAGGGAAAAAGATATTCTTCCCGTACATATCTGTTTGTGTGTTGCGATTCCAGTTCTCGATGACGCACGTCGAGACGGAAAACACGCTCTGTTGATATCAGTTCAATTTTGATACAAATGTTGTGTAGATTCCCCTGACAGGCGCGTCGAAACTAGATCTTCGTTTCCCGCGATCGGGAAATATTTTTTTTCGAAACGATCCTCGAAGCGAGATCGATCGATACGAGATAGGGAAAAAAAAAGATTCGAGATGAGAGAGAACTTACCACCAGATTTATAGCGTAGCACGTTCTAAGATGATAGATGATTCGCTGCATCTTGGCCCGTATTATAATATCGCTATTATTTAGATAAAAAAGATATTAGTATCTTTCTTTTTTTTTCTTTTTTTCCAAGTAAAATTTCGATGTCGTACATTTTATTTATGCAACGAATTTAAACTAATTACGGACACGCACGTTGTACGTGCCGAAATGTAAATACTTGTTAAATTAGTACAAACATCGAGAGATATTAATTTGCCAACAGTTCGTTGGAAACGCGACTGATCGATCCCGCGCAAGATTGTACGTCAGCGCAAGCGATCTGCGAGCACAAATACCTACCTGTACTCGTTTTCTACCGTGGCATCGTTCTACGGTCAGATCTGTCTGGCTATTCCTTCCGAAAGAAAGAAAGAAAGAAAGAAAAAAAAGAAAAGAAGCATCAATATCTTCCATGATCATACACGTATACATACATACCTGAGAGAAGAGATCCACATGCGAGAGCGCAACGCCTTTGTGCTTCTTTTTCCTGTCAGTTTACGAAGAATGCGATTTAGAAAAAAAACAGAAGTCCCCCCGATAGATGTTGGTGTTGTTAGAGAGTGGTATCCACGACACGCGCGGGACAGAGGAGAAGTGGGTTTTTAATTTATTTACAAGAGGGGATAAGGAACTAGATACATATATCGTTCGATCGTGTCGTGTATAGAGCATGCAGCAGTGCTACGCTAACTGACCCGAGGAGGATTTTAGTCCCCTCAGCGTCGCTATTATCCACCGATTTTGCGGAATTTCGAAGAATTTCTCTCTTATTGTAGCAGTCCTCGCGTAACTGACCAACTGTCGGGACTCAGTCAGTCAAGCGATATGGCGGTATTGCAGGAATTGACATCGAAAGAAAGAGTGGGGATGAGCATCAACCAATAGGCGTTACGTTTCACGCGGCCGCGTCTATAAGGTAGCGTAGAGTGGGGGTAGTCCCAATTCCTGGAATTGGTGGGGGGGTAAGCGCAACGGTCAGTTACGAGGGGACTGCTGTACTTGATGTGCGTGAAGTAAGCCACTATACCGGTTAATCAATATATCTCGTTCAATAGAGGAAAAGAGAATGCCTGGAGATCCATTTTAGAAGTGTATCCTCATCGATAACTAGTTATGTATGTATGTAACTAATCGAAAACCTGATTCGTGGCCAATTAGCGGAGCTACTGCTCGGTACACAGACGAAAGACGAAAACGACGCTGCAAAAGTCAGTCAGACGTGATCGTAAACGTCGAAAGCGACGATCTTTACAACGCATCCGCGTTTAAGGAAGGATTTTTCACGGGCATTGTTAACAGTCGATAAAGTCGTTGCAATCACGTCGGTGGATCAGATTTTTATTTAGCTTGAGAAGCGCACAGTAACTGAAAGGCTGCAGTAGCATTATTTCCGAGAGATAAAAATAAAAAGGTACATACTCGGACACTCGGTTATTAGGGAACTCGCGAGTAACTCGCTTGCATTATTCCCCCGTGTCGCCGAGTGTGGGGAACCCGACGAAACGGTTCTCGAGAGAACACGCGTTATATTATATCTCCTCTCCCCTACCCTAGGATTTAAATCCGCTAACGGTGGGAATCCGGCCAGTGTGCGTCGATAGAAGAGTACACATCGAACGAATTTTCATTCGAGACGATCGTCGTTTGTATCGATAAAAGAAAAAAAA